CCAAACAAGAAGGGAGTACCATGTTGGATCTTGCTGGGTGGGTAGTGAACCAGGGATACGTAAATGGAGTAGAGAGTGATGACAAGTTCTGGCCAGTGTAAGATAGCACATTAGTGTGCCTCTAAAGTCTCATAGTCCCTACCTTGGAAAACAAAGAGCAAGGAAAAGGGTGGAGAGTGCAAATGCACTCGAATCTAAATTTGTGTGTGTGTGTGTGTGTGATGACAACCTACTATATACATAGAACTATGCTAGCACAAATGCTAAAAAAAATTGAGACACAGCCTTATAAGTCTAGTATAAGGGATATGCCATACGCTCTATTCAGTGGATAGAGAAATGGACTTGTAGTCAAGAAGACATGAGTTCAAATCCTTCCTCAGATACTTAGCTGTGTGATTCTGATTAAGTCACTTTACCTCTGTCCTCCATTTTCTCATCTGTAAAATGGGGATAATAATACCAAATGAGATAATATATGCAACTGTTTTACAAACTTTAAAGAGCTGTATAATGCTAGATATTATTTAATCTTTGTACAGCAACTACCTAGCAATTATAGCATATATAATAGGAACACAAGAAAGGTACAAAATGCTGCCTTAAATATCCCCAAACAACCTGTACTCCAAGTCAGCAGTGAAACTTATCAGAAGCAATTGGAGCATTAGTTGTTCCTTGATAGCAGTAAGAGTAAGTAGAAGATCGAGCAGCTAAGATAGCAGATCTGGGTGCTTCAATATTCTGTGTGTGCTTTTGTGTCCCTTCCCTCTGTCCCCGGAGGCCAGCCAATCAACAAATATTCATTGAACACCTGTTATGTACTTGGCACTGGGTGGGATGTAACAACAGTGTGAAGAGCTTTAAGAAAAGAGTAGGCAGCTGTGTCCTGGTGTATCGGAAAGGGCAGTTTCGAGAGAGAAGATGGAAAATGCCAACCCCACTTCAGATTGCTGAAGGAAAAGAATCTGAGAAGAAGCTGACATGAAAGGAGCAGAAAGTCTCTATCATGTCCCCATCCCCAGCTTTTTACATCAGAGACTTTGGGGTGATTTCACCCCTTGGGTGAAATCTAGGATTCCATCTTTTGGTTGAGCTGAGTTACCTTGTTCCCAATGGGAGAGCTCCTTCACTGAATACCTCTGGTATTATTCTCTTATGTATACCTTTCCCCCCCCCCCGATTTCTGGTTTGCCATTATTCAGATAAATGTGTTTCTTAGTTGAAAAAATAAAAGAATAAAAGGGAAAATGCATGGAACTTGGAGTCAGAAGATCTGGGTTCTAATCCCATCTCTTCTATTTAATTGTTGTAGAATTTGGACCTCTCAGTTTCCTCAGCTACAAAATGGGAATAATAATACAAATACCTCCCTTGCAGGTTGTGATGAGGATCAAAAGTAAATACATGCTTTTTACAGTGACTATTTTAGTCTTTGCATTTATTTTCTTGTGGTTAGGGTAGGCAGCTCTTTAATTCCCTTCTGAGGCAGCATTTGAATTGACTTCACGAATTAACTCCTGTTCTGTGTATATGTGTGTTTTGTCTCCTATTAGACCTATAAATGTCCATGTTGTCTTCCTTTTTTAGGAAATGGAAAGCGGGGACTGTTTTGCTTTTCTCATTGCATCTCTGGCTCCAAGTATAATGCCTGGCACATAGTAGGTGCTTAATGAATGATTGCTCACTTGATCTCAGTATAGAGGTGCTTTTTTGATATTGCACACAGACAGGTTTGTGGCCTGCAGTAAATGAATGTATCTGCTTAGATTTCCTTTTCTAGCAATATTTCAGAGTCATCACTTATCTGGAGCAGTTGTTATGCATGGCACCTTCTTAGAGTGCTGTTTCTAGCTTAACTCGGTGCAATCTCAGCCAAGCAACAGAATGAGAGTAAAACAGGTGGGAAAGAGGAGTAGAGAATCTGGCTCATTATAGTCTAATTGGCAATGAGTCATTTATTTGAAAAAAAAAAGTATAAAGAAAGAGACCAACTATTTAAAGCTATTGTTGGTGGTATTGTTTTTGTTCAGTCATTCAGTTGTGTTGGAATCTTCATGACCCTGTGGACCATAGCATGTCTGGCCCTTCTATCCTTCACTATCTCTTGAAGTCTGTCCAAGTTCATGTCAATTGTTTCCATTATACTATCTATCCATCTCATCCTCTGCCATCCACTTTTCCTTTTGCCTTCAATCTTTCCCAACACCAAGGTCTTTTCTAATGAGTTCCATCTTCTCATTATTTGGTCAAAGTATTTAAGCTTTAGTTTCAGTATTTGACCTTCCAGTGAATAGCCTGAATTAATTTCTTTAAGTATTGACTGATTTGTCTTCTTGCTGTCCAGGGGACCCTCAAAAGTCTTCTCCAGCACCACAGTTTGAAAGCATTGATTCTGCAGCACTCAGCTTTTTTTTATAGCCCAACTCTCACAGTCATAAATTGCTTCTGGAAGAGGATAGTGTATCAGGTGCTAACCGTCTTCTGACTTGAATATGATATAACCTGATAGCCAACAAAGGATTATTCTGTGCTTAAATGTATTTCTTGCTAATCTAAGTCATTCTGTGACAGTAAGAGGACTACGGTGTTTTTTTCCCCCCAGCACCTGTGGCTTGAAACGTTGTAAATCAAAGGCTGAAACCCATAGAGAGGCCCAAACTATGTATCGCATTTTGGCAACTCAGTCATAAAAAGTAAAATTTAGATGGCTCTTTCCAGAATATGTAATCATGCATCTTTAACACAATTTTCTAGCTACAGAAAAGGAAAAAAATGATTTCCTTTACACAAAAGAGGATTTCTATCTTGTAATAGCTAATGCCATTAGTGATTGTCAATAGCACCCCCATCTGATAATTAACTTTCAGCTCTGCTGAATTTATTGTTTTGAAATCCACTTAGGGAAACTATCTTTAAAATTTCCTTGAGACAGCAATATTGAGATATACTGAGTAAGGAATGTAACAAAAATTAACCTAAGAAATTTCCTATCAGCAGAACAATAAAGTGGACAGGAATGACCAGAAGACAAAATAAAACCTAAGCAATTGACACAATGATATTTATCAAAATGGATTTTTCCAGGGCTTGGATATTAATTATGTCTCAGAGTGGCATGTTTAGTCTTTCACACTTCTGCGTCTTCATTCATGTTGTTTCTCTGCTATGTTGGGCCTACTTCTTCATTTCAAATCCTACACTTGCTTCTAGGTCTTATTCAACAATTGTAATCATTCTAATAACTCATTAATTGGCCACATTAAGGTTTACAAAGTGCTTTCTTCATAACAGCCCTGTGTGGTTGGTTGGAGTTAGGAAGACCTGAATCTAAATCTACCTCTGACACATACTGACTGGCCTTGGGCAAGTCACCCAAGCTCTTAGTATTCCAGGTAACTCTCTAAAATACTAAACTGCAAATATATTGCTGAACTACATAGAATGAATTTCTTCACTATGAGTTCCCCAATTAAATTAAATCATAGGTCTAGCTATTTCCCCTAACCCCCAAGCTATTAAAGAATAATTGCAATTTAATATTATAAAATAGCCTATCATAGGTTACATGAGTATTATACTTTATGTTGACAAAGTGCTTTTCATAAGTTATCTGATTTGCAGGAAGCCTTTTCCATACCATCCCCTGCTGGTGCCTTCCTTTCTAAGATTACTTTCTATCTATGTTGCTTCTGGGACGGCTAGGTAGTGCCATAGATAGAGTACCAGGCCTGGAATTAGGAAAACTCATCTTCCTGAGTTCAAATCTGGCCTTAGATACTTACTAGCTGTGTGACCCTGGACATAAGGCTGAGCCAAATATGAGAAGGCAGGAATTGTCTCACTTTTAGCACCTAGAACAGACTAGCACATAGTAGATCAATGAATGATTGTTTGATTGAAAAGTTCAATTAGGATTTAGAAAATGGAGAGTTTAAGTAAGAATTTGTTGGTGTGTCACTAATACTGTCTAAAGAACAGTATGATTTGACCAGTAGACGTGGTCATTTTGGCCTTTCTGTCTAATTTGGTCTGGATCTATTACAGATGGAGGTGTCAGACATGCTGCAGTCAGAGCTAGATTAAACTGTAATTGGGAAATATTTAACAATATAAATAAAAATATAATAAAACACAGACAATCTTAATACGTGGTTTTCCAAGTAAATATGTGGCTTGCAGGGATTTTTATGCATGGCTTAGTGGACCTCAAATTTCTGTTTGAATTTGACACCATTGATTATAGCTGTCACATGGAGGATAGGGTCAAGGTCTTCCTATAAGAAATTTTGGATTTTATGAATACTTTGATATCATAAAAGAAAAAAATTGCTATGTAGAACTCTACAAGAATAAAAAATATATACTCTCTAATGTCACCTTATTTTATAGTTTACAGTTTAGAGGAAGCCCTCATTAATGTTATTTGACCCTCAGCCTTATAAGGGAGGAATGGCAGGATATTCCATTTTATAGATGAGAAAACTGAGTTTATATGACTTGTCTAAGAACCAGGCCAAAAATCCAAGTCTTCTGACTCTTAGGTTTATTGCTTTTGCTATGTCATACATAGTGTGCTACATTATGATTTGGGGGAAATATCATTGCCTTTTCTCTTATTTTTCCTTCCCACTCACTCATCACTCTTGTCTTAACAAAGTGTTGTTGTGGGGAAGATGCAGAGGCAGGGAAAGTCAATGCACACAAAGGTTGTATGCAAGTATATATATATATATATGTGTGTGTGTGTGTGTGTGTGTGTGTGTATGAGAGGTAGATAGATCTGTATATATGCACATGAGGGTATATGTGTATCTTTATTTTTGTGAGAGGTAAATTGAAAAATCTATCTATCTATATGTATATTCACATGAAATTGTGTATATAAGTATGTGTGTATATTTATGTACAGACATACATATATACATGCATGCAGATAGACTTACAAATGACTGTTCTATTATATTGTGTTTAACTAAACCTTGAATGATCCATTGCAGGTATTGTGTCTCTGATTTCCCTGGCCATCCTATCTTACGAGCGTTATAGAACCCTCACCCTATGCCCCAGACAAGGGGCAGACTATCAGAAGGCACTACTGGCTGTTGCTGGCTCATGGATGTATTCTTTGGTCTGGACTGTACCACCTCTGATTGGCTGGAGCAGTTATGGAACTGAAGGAGCGGGGACAAGCTGTTCAGTGCACTGGACCTCGAAGTCAGTCGAATCTGTGTCCTATATCATGTGTCTCTTCATCTTCTGCCTGGTCATCCCCATCCTGATTATGGTCTACTTCTATGGACGACTTCTGTATACAGTCAAGCAGGTAAGTCATCCTCCATTTCAACCTCTTTGAAATGAAAGAGATGCTTTCATTCTTGTTTGTGACCCAGTTGTTATTAGAGCTTAATATTTTTATTATACACAACCTTAAATACCAACAGTCAATTAACCATCTGTTTATAGCTATTTATGTTTTAAAATTAATTTCTGTGTACATTTTGTCCATGGGACCATATTCATTATCCTATCTTTATCACCTTTTGTTCTCTTTCTATTCATGTATTTTTGCTTAAATTTTTCATAATTGTTGAGTATAAAGACTGTTCTAAATCTACTTTCTTTGTTTCACAATAATTCATCTGTCTATCCAAATTCCTTTACATTCCTCATGCTTAGAATTAATGACATAGTTATAATTGACAAACTTGATATCAAATAATTTAATCAGTGATTTGCCCATTTTGTACATTCAAGTTTTTTTGAGTTCTTTTCAATTACAAATAACGTTGCCGCATGCATTCTTTTGAAGAGCTGTCCCTATTTTTTTCCTGAACGTTGAGGGCACATTCTTAATAATAGGATTAGGGAAATCAAAGAGTATGAGTATTTTTGTGGCTCCTTGTTTGACAGATTGCCCTCCAAAAACTTGTCCACTTGCAGTGAATGAATGTATTTGTTTCTCTACAACTGTTCCAGCATTGCATTTTGTCTTTTTTTGTTATTTCTTGGTTAGTTTATCAAACACACTATCTCTGTCTCCACCTTTGTCTCTTTCTCTCTCTGCGTGTCTCTCTCTTTGGTTCTTTGTCTCTGTCTCTGTGCTCTGTCTCTCTCTGGTTCTCTGTCTCTGTCTCTCTTTATTTGGTTCTCTCCGTCTCCTTCTTCTTCTTCTTCTTCTTCTTCTTCTTCTTCTTCTTCTTCTTCTTCTTCTTCTTCTTCTTCTTCTTCTTCTTCTTCTCCTCCTTCTTCTTCTTCTTCTCCTCCTTCTTCTTCTCCTTCTCCCTGTAAAAAGGAGGTTGATGTTAGTTTGGCCCTTGTCATCCAGTGACTCCAAAAAGGTGAACAACTGTTTCTCTTCTATTTCGTATTTCTATCTAATTCCTCAAATAGGTGGGAAGTGAGATGGGGAGTGAAGGTCCTCAGAGAGAATACAAAATCATCCTGAATTACATGAACATAAGGGGAGCCAAGTGTTCACTAGGAGCAGGTACCTTAGACTTCTTTCCCACTATAGCCTCAAATTTGATGTGAGGCCAATGGGAGTCATCGATCTGGAGGTGAAGTTCTGAACTAGATTATCAACTCATTTGCCTGAGAAACTCTCCCACGATTACATAACTAACAGGTTTCAGATATTGAACTTGAACCCAGATCTGATTGGCTTTAAGAAGTACAAAAGTTTTGGTAGCCTATTCTCATAATCATTATGTTAGCATAAAGCTAGACAGAAGAATAATAATGAAGAAAAATACTACATGTAACTGAAACAATTCATTCCTAAATTTCTTAAAGTGGTTACTGATAATGAAAAATGGGTAATGGATATTTAGAAATAATGACTCAATTATAATAATTTTGTATAGATGTATAAAAGATTGAAAGTGAAGTCATCCTAAGGACATTTAAATGATGAAAATGGAAGGACAATAAATAAAACTGGAAAAAATCTGCAAAGATTTTTATAACTACTTTCATTATCAATAATAGTAGAAACACATCACTTAGACTCTAATATCATGATCCTATAAGTACTTTAGAAGAAGCACAAAGGTCATTGAATAGAATAAAGATAGAAAAAGCAGCAAAACCAGACCAAAAGTGCATAAAGAAGATGCATGTTACAAGTGACACAATTGTGCATGCATTGAGTTAACAATTCACAGGTCATCTGAAGGAGGAGAGGTGTGGGAAAAATTTCAGATTTCATTGTTACTGAAAAAAAGAGTGATTGATAGGATTGATAACTACTGACCAATATACCGATTTTCCCATCTTTACCAAACTTTTATTAGAATCGTCCATACGTGCATCAGGGGCATCCTTAATGATGGTACTACTCAGACTTTTACAAGCAATATTCTTCAATGAGCCATATCTTTATTATCTAGAGAGAGAGAGATCAAAACATATAGATAATACAAAATCTCATTCTGCTTGTTGATGATTATTTTTTAAAAAAATATAATTCATTAGAGTAAAATAGAACCTTAAAGTCAGTAAGTCAATATGCATTTATTAAACCTCTTCTGTGTGCCAGGTAGTGTGCTAAGTGTTCTCTCTTCCAACAAGGTATCTCATATACATGCATCAAACTCATTCAAGAGTCCTGAAAGATATAACAATGACTCTCTGGTTATAAACATTATGAGGCATAAAAGAGTAAGATGTACATTCACTAAAAATGTTTGCCACTAGGATGGAGGATATCTAGCACAGGTTTCAGATTGATGTGGGGCCATCTCTTTGGAAGGCCTGGTGGGCTTCTACATTCTCCTATTGGAGGATTGCATTGTGCTGAATGCCCCAACTTCTGGAAAATTTCAGCACTTCCTGGAAGAGATCTGAAACCTTTGGCCTGACTATTTACATCTTTTGATGAAGTAGAGAAAAGATAATGATTGGCCAGATTATGACATGCGGTTGGACAGACCATATATAGAGTTTATCCGTCACTATTGCACTGTTTCATCAAGGGCTAATTAGATGAAAGGTCCACTTGATCATTTCCCCCCCCCCCATTTTAAAATGTGTAACGGTTGCTTCTTCTTCATTATCCATTATAAATTAAAGTTACCAGAAATTACTTATTTCTACAAAAGTCCCTTTTATGAAGCCTCTTTATTTTTTCAGATGCTTAATGATCTCTCAAGGGAATAGAACTTTACAGTAATGGGACTTCATCAGCAGACTACTCCATTCCTCCTTCGGGATGCAAAATTTCCCTGAAATAGAAATGTAGCTGAAAAAATTATAGATTATCCATTCATTATTTAGTTAAGAATTAAGCCCTCCTGTGCTTCTTACAACTAATGATCTTAATAAAAATTAGTCTCACGTGCCACTGTTCGAGACTATTGTTTCACAGGCAATGGGCAGTCATGCAGACAATCTGAGAAGTGGTTATTATATGGTATACTTTTTGTTGCCTTCTGGGAAACCATGGGCAGTTCAGCTTATTTAATGTTTTCTGGCTTACTAGACTTTAATTAGAGCATAACCAATATATTTCTACCCTGAACTAGGATGTACTCATTGGATGATGATTAATGATAAATACAGGCTGTGAAAAGTTAAATAATTTTAAATCTTTTCTAAGCAATGTCAAGTTAAAATAGGGATTCATTTTTCATCATTCTTATCTCTGCAGCATCTGGTTACTATAACTAGCCCTTCGATTATGTTTTTTGTTATTTGTTTTTAAGCCAAGCCCTGCCACTACCTTATCAAATAAAAATAGAAACTTTGGCAGAGGAAACGAACATTTTATTAGTGTTAATGGTGGTTTTTCTTGTTGTCTCTGAGAAACAAAATAAGGAGGTAGTCAGTGCTCAAAATACACTAGAACTAAGAAGCAAAAGTTGACTTTCAGGGAAGACTCCTTGTCACCAATTGCACCAGATCCATGCTTAGGTTTTTTTCTTCATAAATCTATCAGCTGCAGACTTGTCTTGGTTCATATCATTCCCATTACCTCTATTCCACATTGTCTGATTTCTTAGCATTTTACATCTGTTTATGGTACATAGCCCAGATGGTGTAGAATATAATTTATCTCTTCCTCCAATGCCCCTGTAAACAGGCAGACAGCTTTACATAAGGCTTCCAAGAGGAAGGCATTTCTTCCATCATTGTGTTTCTTTAGCCTGTATCAAAAGCCCAAATTTTCAAGCATAGCATGTGCTCCTACGTCAGTGATGATAGATGTATGTAATTATGTGTATGTGTGTTTTCAAATTAAACCCTCATTAGCTGATCATTTCAAGAACAAACAAACCATTCCATCAGCTATTTTTAGAATCCAGACATCTAATGACTGGTGTTTCATCATAATTGCCTTACTTAGTGGAAAAAGATAAAACACAGAGGTGGATTTGCTACAGGGAAACAGAAGGTAAGGAGCCTGAATTCCCACTTAATGTACACCTGCGTCTTTATTTGAGCTTTCTGATTAAGAGTAGTTTACAAATATTAAAAGAAATATTGTGGAGGGTGGAGCCAAGATGGCAGAAAAAAGGTAGCGACTCACCTGAGCTGTCCCCCAAATCTCTCTGAACACTTTTCAGTAACACTATAAAACTACTCCTAGACTGGCAGAACCCACAAAAGGACAAAGTGAAATAATTTTCCAGCCAAAGACAACTTAGAATTTCTGCAGGAAAAGTCTGTTGCACCTAGGTGAGAGCAGAGCACAATCCAATTCAGGCTGTACCAGCTCAGATCAGGCCCCAGCAAACCACAAGCAGACCTTGGGGGCCACTGAATTAGTGTCAGCAGCTGCTTCCAGAGCTCTCAGCCCACAGAGAGTAAGGAAGTTGAACAACTGGTCAGAAGAAGATTACTGGAGTCTCTTTGCTATCACTTGGGGCAGAACTTTATTGCTTTGTCCATAGTTGGATTGGGGTAGCAGTCATAGGTGGCACTAGCATGCCAAAGCTTAAGGACACAGTGGAGCAAGGACCCTCATTACAATTCCAGGGCTAAAAAGAGTGCTTGTGGTCAGTCACAGACCAGAGCATAGACCAGGAGAATAGTAAACACATCTCTCCCTAGATCATACTACTTTGGAAAAACTAAAAACTTCTTACAGGTCCTTAGAAGTTTCTCTGAAAACAGCTGTGCAAAATTGCTGAAGCTTGGGACAGTGCATCCTCTACCCTGGAAGCAGAGCCCCTCTTTAGCAAAGGGTTAAAAGTCAAGAAATAGGCTGGAAAAATGAGCAAACAACAGAAAAAAATTCTGACAATAGAAAGTTACTATGGTGACAAGGAAGATCAAAACACACTCAGAAGAAGATAAAGTCAAGGCTTCTACATCCGAAGCCTC